TCGCACTGGGATAATCTTGTTTTTCTCCCCCCCCCTCTTGCCTCGCGTTTCATGTCTCGGGGCCGTCGGGCCGCCAGGCATTCAGGCCCGCTCTTCCGCCGGGTGCGGCGCAGTTTGCGCCGGAGTTGCGCGCCCGCGGCGGCGGACGACGCTGGGGCAGGGCAGTCGGCCAATTGGCCTTCCCCGGCGCTGAGGTGAATGCTAGAAGTACGAGTGCAGCAGCATGCAGGCGAGCTCTGCTTCCAGGCCCAGCGCCGCCGCGATGCCCGGGGCCGGCGCGGACACTGCCGCGGCGCGGCAGCCTGGGCTCGCGCGCGTGCCATTGCGATCGCAGCGCCTTTTGTCGAGGTGTTCAAATTTTCAAATGATCGACGCAGCCAAACAGATGCATGTTTTCGCGCGCCCAGGACTGCTGCTGCAGCGTTGCCAAGCGCTACAGGTTGTTGGTAGCAAAGCGCCAGGCACGTGCCTGACCACGAAGTTGACGGTCGTGCTCGGCGACGGGGCCCCCGCGGAGGAGTTCAGGCGCCATTCCGTGCACGAGTGGCTGAAGTTCAGATTCGACCACCCGCAGGCGTGGGGGGGGACCCGCTCGCGGACGGTGGACATCGGCAAGAAGAAGTGGCACAAGGTGGTCGGCCCGATCTCCGCCGTTCTCGCGATCCTCATCGGCGCGGGATGGGAGTGTCCGCCCCCCGCGGAGTGGTCGAGGGCTGCAGGGCCTGGCGAGCCTCACCCTCGGACGTGGCCCCTCCCTCACCAGCAGATGCCCGACTGGGGGGAGAAGCGGGGCAGCGTGGGCCCCGATGAGTTCATGCACGATTTCGCATTCTCACCTCATGACAACCTCTGGGAGTTCGCGGCGACGCACCTCGATGGAGAAGGGTTCCAGCGCGGCGTACCCGATGCGGGCAACGTCTCGCTCGAGACGGACAAGCGCATCGGGGGCGGCCACCGCGACTTCTGGGCCCTCGACTTGCGCGTGGTGTCTGGTGGCCAGTGGGCGATGCCTCGCGTGGTGGAGGCGGGCTACGCTGTCGACGCTACTTGCCAACGATGTGGCGAGGCATCGGGGGACCTCATGCATCTGGTGTGGCTGTGCCCGTGCAACAAGGGGCGCGATGACTGCGACGAGTCTGATGCTCTGCTGCCGTTGGCCCTTGCGCCCGCAGTGGCCCGGCCTGTTCGCTGGCTTCGAGGCGTCCCCGCTCGCGCCGGCGCGCGCCCTGTCTTCTCTGACATGGGGGGGGTGGCGGCGGGCGATGCTGGGTTGGGCGGGACTGGGGGGGGGGCAGGGACAGCGACGGCCTTCTCGCGATGTTCGGCGACGGGCCCGGTGGGTTGTTCAGCGCAGATCCACGCCGTCGCCGCGCGGAGTCGGCCGCCATCGCTTTGAAACGCCATCAGGGCCGATGGCAGCCCTGGGGCCGCCTCCTGTCGGGCCTAGAGGGCCCATTTCAGGCCGTGCCTCGAGCAGAGCTCGCGGCTTCAGCTCTCGCGCTGGAGAATTCAGTCGGCCGCGTCCTGTTCGTCACCGACCACCTCCCGTTGCTCTCGGGATGGCAGGTTGGCAGGCAGGAGTGGCGGCGCGCTGGTGCCAGCGCTGACCTATGGCGAACTGCCCGTGCTCATTAGTTTAGAGGTGCAGGCGAGGTCGAGGTGGAGTCGGCCCCTTTGCCACAGTGAAGACATTGTGGGGCTCGCCCGCAAAGCCCGCAAGGCCTTTCTCATGACTGGCAACGCGTGCGTCGACGCCTGGGCTTGCGAGGCCGCGCGCATTTCGTGGCGGAGAGTTCTGGCGGGCGAGGCACCGCCCACCGACCTGCGCGATGCCTAGTGCGCGTTAATCCGTCGCAGTGCTCGTCGGGCTCTGGCTGATTCCATGGCGATGGACCCCTGGTTGCGCGCGCGGGCCTCGACGGCCGCGGCGGAGGGGCCGCGCGGGCTGCTGCGGGCCCTCGAGGACAGCCAACATGAGTGCGAGATTTGTGGCAACAGGTGCGCGGCACCCCGCGCGCGGCGCGTGCCCCCGCCCCCGCTGCTTGTGATGCGATCGTGCCGACCTCCCCGTGATGGCGCGCGGGCGCGCGCTCCGTGCGTCTCACAACTTGCATTAAATGCGGACGTGCCTGCTGTATTTCTGCCGAGTGCGCGGAGAGACCGCCACTCAAGACCCTCCTCACCTCGCGGCCGCACGCGCTTGCGCCGCCAAGAAAGGCCGCGATAACCTCGCAAAGATCGATCGCGTGAAATTCACGCGGGCCCACGCTAGATGCGATGCGCTAAACTCTTACGTCAGGGCTGGCCGCCATGCTGCTGTGGCTGCCGAGGCCCGCGCTGGCGCGTCGGCCGATGCATCCGAGTCGCTCTCCCGGCAGACGCCGCCTCCCGGGGCCGAGGTTTTGCGTGCCTCGGACCCGCCTGACCTTGTCGCGGCGCAAGGAGGGGGCCGTGCCGGGGCTGCCCCGAGCCAGCCCTCGCCTGCGGCCGGCGCCCCAATCCGACCTGGGGCCGCCGCGGTCGGCTCGAGAGCCGCTTCCTTGTTCGCTTCTCACGTGGGGGAGGTTGCAGCTCGCCCTCGCGCCTCCTCCAGCTCATTCTGTCCAGGGGAGGGGCGCGTCACTGCAGGCCGGCCAGCCGCTCGAGCTGATGTTGGCCCGACAGACGCTCTCCCCGGCATGCGGGGCCACATGGCAGCAGCAAGGCCTCCCGCCTCCCTCTAGTCCTGCTGGCTATGCGGCGCCACCGCGCGACGCGGTGGCTTTCTGGCATGGGTTGGACGCCCAGCCATCGCATTCCTTGTCGTTGGGTCTTTCCGATGATTCTGGCTGATCGCTCTTCCTTCCTATTCTGGCCGCCCCCGGATCGCGCTGCTCGCCTCTCCGCCTTGGCGAGGGCGGCTTCTCGGCCGCCCCTGGTGGATTGACGTGTCTGTGGCGCGCCTGAGGAGCGTCGGCCTGAGGAGTGCGTGCGCCTCGCCCGCCCAGCTGCTGCTGCTGGGGCTGGGCCCCCTCTGGCGCGTGTGTGTGTGTGTGTGTGTGTGTGTGTGTGTGTGTGTGTGTGTGTGTGTGTGTGTGTGTGTGTGTGTGTGTGTGTGTGTGTGTGTGTGTGCGTGTGCGCGTGTGTGTGTGAGAGAGAGTGTGTGTGTGTGTGAGTGTGAGTGTGAGTGTGAGTGTGAGTGTGAGCGTGAGCGTGAGCGTGAGCGTGAGTGTGTGTGAGGGTGTGTGTGTGTGTGTGTGTGTGTGTGTGTGTGTGCGTTGCGTGTTGGGGCGCAAGATACTCCAGGTCCGCCCGCGGCGCCTGCTGCGCGGCTCGGAGGTGCAACAGATCTTCGGGCAGTTGCAGCATCGGTCGGCCCCGAGCTGGCGTTGCCTGCCCTGGCTGGCGGAGCGGAGCCCGCCGCGGCCCGTGGCTTGTCGCGGTTGAGCGTCCGCGCGAGCCGACCTCTCAGCGCGCGCCGTCGGCGCCCGTGGCTCCGCGCCGCGCCCCCCGGCCCCTCGGTTCGAAGATGCGCGCGGGCCAGACCTTTCTCGCCGTGTCTTCTCGCGATGAGCAACCGCCGTCACAGGGCGGCTTCGACTCAGGCTCATCGGATCGACTCGGCCTCTCGCGGTCCTCGTGTTCGGCCGTTTCGAGCACTCTTGTCTCCCAGCCTGTGTTGTCTGCCCGCGCGGCGGTTCGCCTTCCTAGAGGGTTTGAATCCTCGCCGCCGCTCGATGAGCAGTGCTTTCGGTTTAAAGGCTGGCCCGATCCCCCTGTGCATCTCGAGGGCCTCGGGTGGAGGGGCCATGTCCTGCGCGGTGTTTTCGTGTTTTGTGGCGGAAGGGCGGTTTTGTCTTTTGTGGGTCTTGTGGGAGGTGCGCTGAGGGCCCCCGGGGCCCCGAAGCTTTGACCCTAGAGTGCGAACGCGCCCGTTTCGGACGTTTCTCGCTCGCCGAGGCCTAGTACGCCGCGCGGCCTCGGCCGCGCGCGGGGGGGAGTGCGGCGCGGCGCCCTCCGTCGCTCGCGCGTCCTCCCCTCCTCCTTCCTCCCTCCTCCCCCTCCCTTCTTTTCCCTCGTCCTCCTCCTCTTCCTCCCTTTTGCTCTCTCCTTCTCTCCTGCTCCTTCCCCCCCTCGTCCCTCCTCCCTCCTCCCTCCTGCTCTCTCGTCTTCCCTCCTGCTCATTCCTGCTCTCTCCTGCTCCCTCCTCCTCCTCCTCCCTCTCCCCTCCCGCTTGCTCCTTCCTGCTGCCTCCTCCTCCTGCTATCCTGCTCCGTGCCCCTCCCCCCCTCCTTCCTGTTCCTCTCCTCCTCCTCCTCCTCGTCCTGCTCCTCCTGTTCCTCCTGCTCCTCCTCCTCCTCCTCCTCCTCCTCCTCATCCTGCTCCTCCTCCTCCTCTTCCTCCTCCTCCTTTTCTTCGCCCTGCCCTAGTGAGAAGTCAGGGCTGTTGCACAACCAAATCGCAGGGGATTTTGCAAATGCGCGCGCGGCACCCAGTCTAGGTGAGTTGACGTTGACCCCCTGATGCGGATGTCCTGTCCTGTCCGCCTCCTCCTCCTCCTCCTCCTCCTTTTCCTCCTCCCCCCTCCTCCTCCTCCTCTCCTCCTCCTCCTCCTCCTCCTCCTCCTCCTGTTCCTCCTCCCTCCTCCCTCCTGTTGCCCCCCCCCCCCCGCGCAGCCCGCGCGTCCCCCCGAGCCTACCAGAACTCCCGCGCGCACCGCTCGGGCGGCGCGCCTGCCGCGCACCGCCGCCGCGGACGCGGGCTGGATTTCGGCGGCGTCGACGACGTCGGCGACGGCGACGACGTCGACGTCGGCGACGATTTCGACGTCGACGGCGGCGACGACTTCGACGTCGACGGCGGCGACGGCGGCGACGCTGTCGGCGTCGTCGGCAAACGACGTCGACGTCGGCGACGAAACCGGCGTCGACGGCGGCGACGCTGGCGCCGCCGCCGAAGAATCCGACGACGACGGCGGCTACGACGCCGACGACGGCGGCGACGGCGGCGACCGGGCCGAGGCCCATTACTTCTGCGCCGCCTGCGCCCTGACCACTGGCTGCGCCAGCATGTCCGTTTATCTGGGGTGCCTGCCGGCGCAGCCACCGGGGGATCCAGGCACCGCGGAAGCGGACCTGGCTGCAGTATGTCCGCCTCCACCGTGGACCAGGGAGAGAGAGAGAGAGAGAGGGGAAGAGGGAGAGAGTCTAGACGCGGGGAGAACACACACACACACATACACATACACATACACACACACATACACACACGCACACGCACACGCACACGCACACGCACACGCACACGCACACGCACACGCACACGCACACGCACACGCGCACGCACACGCACACGCACACAAACACACACAAACAAACACACACACACAAACTTACACACGCACAAACACACACAAACACACACACACACAAACACACACAAACACACACACGCACAACCACACACACACACACTTATAGGGAGCCATGCATGAGTATATGTGTACATATGTTGCTTACATCGATATATAGGTTAGCAGACGTGGACCCCAAGCAGTGTGTTTCTAGCAGTATCTGTTGTGCTGTCGAGGTGGAGCAACCGATGTGGTGCAATCGTAATATGTAATTTTATACATATATACACAGAGACAATGTTTTACCGGCTCGCTTCGCTTCGCATTTACAAGTTGGGTCACATGGCGCCAGAAAGGCGCGCTGGGACGGGCAGTCGTCGTTGCTGCGGTGCGCCTCGTCAATGGGGCTCATATGGCTCGTGTGGCTCAGAAAGCTCGTCTGTGATCATAGGGTTCTTGCGGCTCGTCTGGCTCAGAATGCCTCCCTCGCCCGACTTGGTGAACGCTTGACCCGAAAGTGGCCCCGAGACGGCACCGAGATGCCCGGACATTTTGACGACCGCTCATAATGCCGGGTGCTGGGGGTTTCTTCGGGCCATTGTGGGCCGCTCTTGGGCCGTTCTTGGGCCCCGGAGAAGGCCCCGAGCGAGCTCAAGAGGGGTCCAAGAAGGCCCCACGAGCGGCTGCATGTGGGCCCTCGCGCCCGGCATTTTGACAGCTGCTGAAAATGCCGGGTGCGGGGTCCCTCATGGGGCCCTCCTGGGGCTTTTTGGGGCCGCTCTTGCGCTACTCTGGAGGTGCCTGGGGCTCGGCGAAGGCCCCGAGAGAGCCCCAAGCGGGCCCAAGAGAGCTCCAAGAAGGCCCCAAGAGCGGCCGAAGAGCACTGCATGATCATGCAGTAATATTGGGGTTCTCTTGCAGCGCTTGTGGGACTCTTCCTTGGCCTCTCTTGGGCCCTGGAGAAGTCTCTGAGAGAGCCCCACGATGATTTCCATGGGGCCTTGGAGAAACCTCGGAGAGAACCCCACGAGCCCTCCCAGATGACATCTGAGGGCCTCTGGGGCGTGCGGGTCATTGGGCACAGAGGGCTCGTCCGACTGAATGGGCTCGGAAGCTCGTAATTCGCAGGGCTCGTGAGGCCCGTGGGGCTGATAGGGCCGATAGGCCTCACAGGTCCCGCGAGGCTTATCTTTGGGTCATCTGGTGGGTCTGTTAAGGCTCAATTAAATCATAGGTCTCATGGGGCTCATAGGGCTCGTAGGGCTCATATGGGCTCTTAAGCTTTATATGGCTCGTAGTGCTCATAGGGCTCATAGAGCGCATAGGTGTCATGGGACTCATGAGGGCTCGTAGGGCTCATGGGGCTCATGAGGCTCATAGGGCTCATAGGGTTGATATGGCTCGTTGGGCTCATCTGGCTCATATAGCGCATAGGTCTCATGGGACTCATGAGGGTTCATGGGTTCATGGGGTGAGGCTGATAGGGCTCATAGGGCTCATAGGGCTCATAGGGCTCACAGGGCTCATCGGGCTCAGAGGGCTCATAGGCATCATGGGGCTCACCGGGCTCATGGGGCTCATGGGGTCATAGGGCGCATAGGGATCAGTGGGCTCATGGGACTCAGAGGGTTCATGGGCTCACAGGGCTCACAGGGCATAGTGTTCATAGGGCTCATGGGGCTCATGAGGCCCATGCGGGTCATAGGGCTGATAGGGTTCATAGGACTCATTGGACTCATAGAGTTCACATGGCTCATAGGGCTCATAGCGCTCGTAGGGCTCATGGGGCTCACGAGTGTCTTAGGGCTTCTCGGGCTCATATTGCTCATAGGGCTCGTAGGGCTCGTAGGGTTCATGTGGCTCACAGGGCTCGTAGGGCTCAGAGGGCTCAGAGGACTCAGAGGGGTGCATAGGGCTCGTCGGGCTCATAGGGCTCATGCCGTGCATAGGGCTCGTAAGAATCATAGGGCTCACAGGGCTCATAGGGCTCATAGGGCTCATAGGGTTTATGTGGCTCATAGGGCTCACAGAGCGCGTAGGGCTCCCAGGGCTCATGAGGGCTCATGGGGCTCGTGAGGCTCATATGGCTCATGAGGGCGCAGAGAGGCTCATAGGTCTCATAGAGCTCAGGAGGCTCATATGGCTCTTAGGGCTCATATGGCTCATAAGGGATCGTAGAGTTCGTATGGATCATATGGCTCATAGGGCTTAGAGGGCCCAGAGGGGCTCATAGGGCTCGTGGGGATCATAGGGCTCATGGGGTGCATACGGCGCATCAAAACCATCGGGCTCATAGGACTCATAGGGCCCATTGGGCTCATAGGGGTCATGTGGCTCATGAGGCTCACAGGGCTCGTGGGGCTCATTGGGATCTCTCATAGGGCTCATAGGGCTCACAGGGCTTGTAGGGCTCATAGGGCTCACGGGGCTCAGAAGGCTGACAGGGGCTCTAGGACTCGTAAGGCTCATAAGGGGTCATGGGGTGCAGAGGGTTCACAAAGCTCATAGGGCTCATAGGGCGCATAGGGCTCGTATGCCTCATGGGTTTCATGGGGTCATAGGGCTCATAGGGCGCATGGGGGCTCATTTTGGTTCCTATGCCTCGTCGGGCTCAGAGGGCTCATAGGGATCATAAGGATCAAAGGGCGCATCGTGCTCGGAGGGCTCATATGGCCCGTTGCGCTCATTGGGCCCATAGGGCTCATAAGGGGTCCCAGGGCCGAAGGTTTGAACGTGGCGTTAGAGGAATAACCAAGGCATCTAAGATACAACCTTGCGGGTATCAATGAGTGTGGCCTCTCGGGGCCGTGGCGGGGCTTTGTTTGGGGCTTTTTCGGGCCGTCTGGCGGCCTTCGTGGCCCGCTGCGGGACCTTCTTGGGCTGTTTTGGGGGGCGTTGGCCGTCCCGGGGCCTTCTTGGGCTCTTTCGGGAGCCTCTTGTGGCCTTCTGGGGCTGTCTTGGGAGCTTTGGGGGGTTCTCTGGGTCTCCATGTGGGCCGTCTGGGGCTATCTTGGGCCGTGTTGGGGCTCTGGGGCTGTCTTGGGACCCTCTTCGGGATTTCTTTGGCCGCATTGGGGCGCGATCTTGGGGCCCGGCTAGGCCGTCTTGGATGCTTTGAAGGCCAAAGAAGGGAATATGCAGAACACATACGTTTTTTTTCTAGGGAATGGAATTTGTCGTGCCTCTTGGGGATCCCCCTGGGGGGCCTCTTACGGCGTCTTGGGGGCTTCTTGATCCGACTTGAAGTCATTCTGGGCCCTCTTTGAGGGCCCATGGGCTGCTCTGGAACGGTCTTGGGCCGTCTTGGGCCTCCGCGGGACCGTCGGGGAGGCGATCGTGGACCCGCCCGAGCGGCGCAGGGTGGCCCCGAAGGGCTGCCCAGACCGGAAGTTATCATTCCACGTCGGTGGGAGCGCCGAGGGCCGAATTTGTGTACGGGGTTGGGGGGTTTTGGGGGGAATCTACCTATAGATGTACGATGTGCAACGCATGGTGTGCAATATAGGCTGTGCGATATATGTGGTGTGGTATGTGTGGAGCAGTATCTGTGGTGCAGTCTCTGTTGTGCAAGATGATGTGGTGCAGTCTGTGTTGTGCAGTCTATGCTGCGCAACATATGTGGTGTTATCTATGTGGTGCGCAATCTACGCGGTGCAATCGACGTGGTGTAACCTACGTGGTGCAGTCTATGTGGTGCAATTCACACTGCCGAACTTGAATGTGTCAACTCCACTGCTCGCGCAATCATTCCACCGCACACACCCACAGCCACGCAGGCCATGACGATGAGCGGCTACGAGGCGGCGACGGGGCGGCAACGGCGAGCACGGAGCCGCCAAACCGCCTCCCATGCCCAGTTCCTTAGAAGAGAACTAAGAACCCCCTCTTAGTGTAAGCACTGTGTCGGACATTTATATAGACATGAGCGCCCTCAGTTGTATGAGACGTGTTAGCCAGCGTGGACCCCAAACAGTATATTTCTAACAATATATGTTGTGTAATATATGCGGAACAGTCTATGTGGTGCAGTTCGTGTGGTGCAATATAAGCGGCTCAATCTATTTGTTGCCACCTACGTGGTGCGATCTATATCATGCCGTCTATGTTGTGCAATCTATGTTGTGCGAAGTCGGCTGTGCAATCTATGTGGTGCAATTCACTTTGACTGTCTTGAAGCTGTCCTCTCCACTGCTCGTGCAAACATCTCACCCTTCCACCCGCAACTTGGTCGCAAGACTTCTTAAGACCGTGACCGTGACAGCGATGCCGACGACGACAGCGACAACGACCACGACGACTACGCCGACGACGACTACGACGATTTCGACGACGTCTCCGACGATTTCGACGACGACGACAACGACCACGACGACGACGACGGTGGCGACACCGACGACGACGACGTCGACGCCGCCGACGACGACGATGACGAAGACGACGACGACGACGGCGACGACGACGCCGACGACGAGGACGACGACGGCGACGACGACGTCGACGCCGACGACGACGCCGACGACGACGACGGCGACGACGACGACGTCGCCGACGCCGACGCTGACGACGAGGACGACGACGGCGACGACGACGTCGACGCCGACGACGACGCCGACGACGACGCCGACGACGACGACGAAGACGACGTCGTCGCCGACGACAACGTGGGAGGAGGGAGGACGATGACGACGACGCCGACGACGACGTCGACGCCGACGACGACGC